CCAGAACTGGATCATTGCACCAGGCCTTCAAGTGGCCCTTCACCAGGACCATAGCACCTTCTGAGACTTTCCCGGAATCAAGACGAATTCCCCTGGCACCGGAAACTTTCCAGGAGTCTCTTGGCCGTCCGCCAAGAGTTGACATTGCAAGTAACAATCGACAAAGATGGCTTTGCCCCCCAAGCCTCACGATCGAGTCCATGTCGGCGCGGGAAGTCCTTCGCATGGCAAGCTGGTGGTTCCTCGACTCGAGCAACGCCCCCAACCAGTTGGACACCCTCAGAAGCTGGTGTCGAACTGCAGGCCACCTCTCTTGAAGGCGTTGTGGGTCGATCAAGCTGTTCGCCTTCGCCATCTTTGCCCAAGACTCACATGGCCCCTCCAGCTGCTCATCAGATGGCAATGTGACCTCGTAGAGTCTAAGAAGAAACGGTGTGGAGGCAGTCAACTTGTTGCCGCATCTGCTACACCCCAGTCCAGATGAATGCGCGTTTCTGGCCATCTGGGGCAATATCGTGGCATTCACGGATCTTCGCGTCGGGGCGCAGCTCGGAGGCGTCTCCGTACGCCTGACGCCATGCCCGAAACGCTCCATGGTGGTGGTGGCCACCAGCTGGAGCTACGCCAATGTCCTCCACAACCTGTTTGCTCGATCGACTGCGGCGCTGCGGCCGCATCCGACTTGTCTGGTTTGGCTTTGGATGTGGTCGCAAGGGCCTTCGTGGCCTGGGACCTTGGGTCGTGGATGACCTTGCCCTTGCCCTTGCCGATGCCGACGACCCCCGCGACCGCAGGAGCCTGTTCCACAATCGGCGTGGCATGCTGGTCGGACCCTGAAGCACTGGCCTTGGTTCCTCCGTTGCTGTCGCCTTCTTGCTTCTTCCGCTGTTTGACCAGGCGGCGCTCCTTGACCTTCTCGTGTTCAACCTTGAGCTTCTCCGCCTTGACACGGGCTGCCCCGAACAGCTCGCTCTCCTGGCCTGCTCCAGGTCGGCTGGGTCCACATCCTCGTAGTCCGCCATCCAAACAGGGTGGACGCGCCGCTGAAGGAGATGGTGGCCTGCCCGTCGGGAACATGCTCAAGGCTGATCGACGCCCCCCTTTCTTAGCAGCGCCAAGCTGTGGTTGTTGGGAGGAGTGGACCACCTCGTCGTGTAACTCCTGGACGGCCTTGATATACTGAGCGTCGGCCTCAGAGAGACGTTCCTGAGTCTCCTCGGCCATGGACCGCTGCAACTCGAGCTTGGCCTGGATAGCTGAGAAATGCTCCACCTGGTCGTCCAGCTGGCGCTCATGCTTCTTGACCTCCTGGCCGTACCGATCAGCACGGGTCTTGGCGGGCTCGGGCGGCTTGGGCAAGGACGACTTACAGGCCAACTCGTACTGCTTGGCAACCTGCACGTTGCCCGAGTTGCGAGCAAGGTCGATGAGCCGCTGCACGTCCTCGCCTGAGATCTTGTCGACGGATGGCAGAGCGCCAGGGGGAGCCACATCACCAGAAACAAAAGGAATCCGACGCCCAAGACCCTTGTCCGTGGCGCCCTTGGCCCCCTCTCGTGGTTGTAGACATCCCCTTTGGTTCTGGTATACACAGTCTTCCAGGATGGGCCGCAATGCTTGCAATTGCCACCGGGCATACTGCCCAGCACTGTGCCGGCAGGGTGCCTCCGACATCGCACACCTGCTGAACGGCGAGACTGGAGAGAAAGACCCGTCTCGAGCAAGAAAGTCCACGGCCGCACGAGGGCTCACCGTGGAGAAAGTGAAATGGAAATCCTGAGGGCGGCTCGCCTCGAGCCAGCCCCTTGGCAGGGATCAAGCACGAAGCCGCAGGGCACGGTTTCGTACTTGACCAAAATGGCTACGGAGCCCTCCCCCTCCTCCTCCTCCTCCTCCTCCTCCTCCTCCTCCTCCTCCTCCCCCTCCCCCTCCTCCTCCTCATCCCTCCCTCTCCTCGTCCTCCTCCTCCTCCTCCCATCACCAGCCTCCTGTGGCGCCAGCTCGCAGGAGAGTGCAGAAGGCCTGGGCGACTGGCCAACTCTTGGCGACTGTTAGGCCGGGCATGTCCTCCTACAGGCGAATTTTGGACGAAACATAAGAATTAGTAGAAACATGCTCCCAAATTGCCACAAATATGCCAAACATCGACTCCACACTATTTTGTTGACCATTGTCGAATGCTCCCCCTGTAGAAGGACACGACCGACTTAAAACCAGGCCCTGGCTGCTCGCGCAGGGTCTGCTACTTTGGCTCCCACGGCTCGCCAGCAGTAGCAGATGGCGGACGCGCGGCAGTCCCGTGACTCGAGAATGAAGGCCACGGCGGAGCAAGCCGACCTCTTGAGAGAACTGACGCACCAAGGCGCGGTGGCGCGGCCGAGCTTCGGGGGCGCGCAAGCACGGATTGGCGATCCATGTATTCCTCCTGTAGAGAGGCAAGCCCAACTTAAGGTTAGGGTTAGGTCGGGCGTGTCCTCCTACAGAGGGGGTGGGGGCGGACAAACAATTGTAGATAGTCAACACATACTCCAGCATGGTCAAAAGTGGTTAGGAAACCGTCCCCTGCGTATTCGTTTACTATTTTGAATGTTCCACCTGTAGATGGACAGGCCCGACTGTAGGGTACCTGTAAGGGGTTAGGGGTTAGTATGATTGGAGGCCCCCCTCCTTTAAGGGGACCTGCATGGGTTATTCTTACTGTTGTTGCAGGGGGCAGGGCTTGTACCTCTACGGCCACCTATTGCACCTGTAGGGCTTAGGGGCTTCTTCCTTCCCGATGAAGGTCAATGGGGGACGACTCTGCGCGGATGCTCCGTGCGGAGCCCAAATCGGAATCCGAAATCGAATCGAATCGGAATCGGAAGCCATCGGCATCGAATCGAATCGAATCGGAGGAATCGAAACGCGCCCTGCCCACGAGCCTCCCAAGAGGGCCCAAAGACTGCACAGCAAACGCTCCGATGGGGGCCCATCAAGAAGGCCCAAAGAGGCCCCCCCGTGACGGCCTCCGAGGGCGTCCTACGGGCCAGGAGCCCCCTATAGGACGGCCGAAGAGACCCGCAAGAGGCCCCCTAAGAAGCAGCAAGAGAGTTCCTGAGAGGCCTTCTCCCTCCTGGTTTTCACGGTCTCCTCCTCCTCCTCCTCCTCCTTCTCCCTCCTCCTCCCTCCACCTCCCTCCTCCTCCGCCTCCTCCTCATCCTCCTCCTTCCCCTCCCCCCTCCTCCTCCCCTCCTCCTCCTCCTCATCCTCCTCCTCCTCCTCCTCCTCATCCTGCGCCTCCCCCCTGCCTCGCGAGCGAAGATGAGGTCGAGTCCACGGCCCGCCCCGATGCAGAGCGCTCGCTGAACTGCACGGGGCGTGAACTCGACCTCCCCCATACCGCGCGGACGACGACGAGGGCGTGATTCGCGGCTTTCCTCCTCCTCCTCCTCCACCTCCTCCTCCTCCTCCTCCTCCTCCTCCTCCTCCTCCTCCTCCTCCTCCTCCTCCTCCTCTCCCTCCTCCTCCTCCTCCTCCTCCTCCTCCTCCTCCCCCCCCCCCCTCCTCCTCCCCTCCTCTTCCTCCTCCTCCTCCTCCTCCTCCGCCTCCGCCTCCGCTCCGCTCCGCCTCGCCTCCTCCTCCGCCTCCGCCTCCGCCTCCTCCTCCGCCTCCTCCGACTCCGCCCCCTCCTCCTCCTCCTCCTCCTCCTCCTCCTCCTCCTCCTCCTCCTCCCCCTCCTCTTCCCGTTCGGACCCGTCGTCGGAACTGCGCTGCTCCTGCGCTCTGGTCTGCTTCCCTTTGCGCTCCTGCAGAGGCACGACGGCGGGGCGTGCGGCAAACAACTGGGTAGCCCCCTGTCGTGCCCCAAATCGTTGGGCCCCATCGTGACCGTGCAAAACTGTTTATGAATCTTCGGCTGCAAGAGAATCGTGGGTGTCCCTGGCCTTCCGGCTGGGCCTGGATCCAAGACGGCCAAAGAGGAGCTCAAGAGGAGATCCCACAGGAGCCTTCAGGAGCCCACCCAGGCGGCCCAGGCCAGGACCGCCGAAGAGAGACTCAAGGCGGTCCAAGAGGGTCCCGAGATTACCAAGACAGGGCAGCCCGAAAAGAGGGTCCCGAGATTGTCCGACGCAGCCCTGGGAGGCTTGAGGCAGAGACTCCCAAGACGACCACGACGGACCCAACAGGAGTTGACAAGAGGGATCCAAGAAAGTCTTGGAAGCCTGAACTTGAACACCAAAACAGGGGGTTAACTCGGGAAGATGATCCTGGAGAGCGGTGTTGGTATTAATATGTCGGCCACCTGGGTAGCACGAGTATCTACCACCATCACCGAACCAGGATCAGCTGCCCTCGGTGGCGGCACACCGCCGATATCGGTGTTGGTGTCAACCTCTAGGCTTAGGTCGGGCATGTCCCCATACAGGCGAATTTTGGGAGACACATAATACATAGCCGTCACATATGCAAACTTAGTCCAACATAGTTATACTTTGATTATTTATATATAGAAACAACGTCCCCAGACTATGTCTTACTATTGTTGCAACTTCCGCCTGTAGAGGGACGCGCCCGACTTAACTCTAGGCCTCCGAGTAAATCGCCACTTGGCCTCAAAGTAAACCGAAGCAGGCCCACGGCGGCCCAGGCAGTGCGCATGGCGGCCCCCCCGCAACAACACAAAATCGCGATGCGCAGCATGCTGCGGCCGCCTGGAGGAGGGAGGAGGGAGGAGGGGGGATGGGGGGAGGGGGGAGGGAGGAGGGGGGAGGGAGGAGGGTGGAGGGGGCAGGGAGGAGGGGGGAGGGAGAGGGCAGGGAGGAGGGGGGAGGGAGGAAAGAAAGAAAGAAACACTCCGTGGGGGCCAAGTTCGTCCATTAGCTAGACAGTCAGAGGCCCAGAGGCTATCCTCAGATTGAGGATCCAAAACGCCTGGGGACGCTGGCCCCAAAGCTGCACCGAAAACTGGTGCACTGCCCGAGGCACTAAACCCGAGCACGAGTTACCCGAGTCTAGGCCAGCGGACTCCTCTGCACAACTACCCTCTACGTACCATTGCTAGGACATGCCTGCTCCTACTCAGCGCTTGCCAACGTGCGGTGCCTTCCTCTACACCTAAAGCCCTCAGATATCGTGCTACCTCTAGTCCTCCCTCTGGTGCATCTCCTCCGTGTCTCATCACATACCTGCGTACCTCAGTACTCTCTGAAATCGGGGCGCCTCTGGTCACTGTTTCCAAAAAGGGCGGTTTCGAAACACTCCTCATTGGCATCTGTGATCCCCTCGTCCCAGAAGAGGCCCTCAAGGGCGAAACCCTCCTTATTGGCATCTGTGATCCCGACGTCCCCAAGGAAACCGTCCTCATTGGCATCTGTGATCCCGTGGACCCCGAAGAAATCCTCAAAGGCGAAACCCTCCTCATTGGCATCTGTGATCCCGTCGACCCAGAAGAATTCCCCATTGGCGAAACCCTCCTCATTGGCATCTGTGATCCCGTGGACCCCGAAGACACCCTCCAAGGCGACGCCGTTCTCATTGGCATCTGTGATCCTGAGCGGCCCCGAACGTGGCCTTCCAGGGGGTCGACGATCTTCTCTGAAGACACTCTCAGAGGTGGACTCCTCCCCCTCGTCGGACTCCTCTCAGCGTCCAACTGCACTGCCTGCGGCTGGCAGTCCTGCACAGTCAGTCGGGGACTGTGGGCCGGCTCAGCCGCTGACGATCTTCCCGCCTGTGGTGTGGTCATCCTCAAATCCCCCTCCGCCGTCACTTGACTTGTGTCAATCTCAAGCGTAATCGATTCAAGATGATCCGAAAGTGTAGTAGTCCGTCGTGCAGTCTCGGCTACTGCAGGAAAACCTCCAGCCACTCCTGCAACTCGCGCTCCATGTGGCTCGCTGGCGCTCTGCCCGATTTCAGCTCCGCGCCCAGCTGCTGGAGGGCGCCGATCACCTCCTTGCGGCCCTCCTGAAGGCACAGCGTGATCCTGCGCTTGCCCTGGTCGTAGCACCTGTCTACCTTGGTGAAGCGGGTGATGTCCATCTTTTCTTCGTAATCGAGCGACTGGAGCCGAGCCTTGAACTCGGTCAGCTTCTCGAAGTTCACTTTGCCAATGCTCTGTTGGCGCAGCAGCAGCGCCTCCAGCAGGCCCCCGAACACGAACAGGTGGGGCGCGCCGAGCCCGCGGCCCTTGCCCTTGGCCTGGACCTGGGCGTTGTAGGCCGAGCCCTGCTCCTGCATCTTCAGCGCCTCGGGGAGCTCGGCTGGGACAATTAGCACGTCGAACAACACTCCCTCGATATTCCGACGGCTCTGAGCGAGCGAGAGCAGCATTTTCATCATCAGCACGTACAGTCCTTTGCTGTGGCCGTTGGTGCCTGCGGTGGTCTTCTGGGCAGTCTGGCCGCCGTTCCCCTCGTCGCGGCGTCTGACCGCTCGCTGAAACTCGGGCTCCTTCTTGCTGTCGGTGCCGCTCGCCAGCGCCAGCGCCATGACTAGGCACGCCCGCTCGTTCGGTGCGCTGCTCCCTACGCGCGCGGGGCTGAACCGCAAGAGGAGGTGGAGGGAGGTGACATTGCACAGCGTGATCATGGCACTCAGCAAGTGCGTCGAAGTCAGACTCACACATTGGGCACTGCAGAGACTTAGGTATAATAAGATCCCAATCGAAGGCGGTGCGGTTGAGTCTACATCTGTTGGTCAACCATGCGGTGCGAACGTGTTGACGAGCACTATCTTTAGACGAGAACGAGGTACGACACCAAGGACACACATTCGTCAAGACGGTCGAAAACAAAGGGTTCAACTTGCCATGTTCGCCTCCCACAGATCTGAATTGATGAGCTAGTAGGCCTCCTCGTGACTCAAACTCCTGTAGGCACATGTTCCCCTGGGAGTCCCTCAGGTTACATATATAGGTCGGGGGCTCCTCATTGTCCCCCTCCTGTTCGAAGGCCCTCGCGGGGCCCCTAAGACGGCTCCGAAATAGCGCTTCCCCCTCCTTCAAAAGTGAGGCCTTCAAGATCTTGGGATCAACTTTCAGCCGCACCTCCCGAACTTCTTCTTCCAGGAATAAAGCCTTCCAAGAGAAATCCCATCGTTCCCAGGCCTCGAAGAAGTCCTCGGTACCGCTAATACAAGCAAACGCCCAGAAGTCCCGCTCTATCTGAAAAGCCAGTGGGGGTGCGCACGTGCGAAGGTGCCCGTCATCATCGAGAGAGGGAGGTCTGTTTTCGAGATGCCCCCAAATCGAGGCGATCACCTGCTGGTGGGCGAGGGCGCCCTTGGCCATCTGCTGCGCCCATCCGAAGCGTCTGGCCGCCTGCTCGAAGCGGATCGGTATCAGGCGCCACCTCTGCCTAAGCGTCGAATTCGATGACGAGTGCGGATGCTCGCCTGACCAGTCCGTGGCTTTGCCACTCTCCAAAACTCGAAGGCACTTAGCTAGAATCCCGTCCAGCTGCTGGGTCTGGGCCCTCGGAAACACGAAAGGTTCGTTCGCGGATAAGGCGGCTTCCACCACGTGGCCCCTAAAGGCCAGGATCTGCAGGGATTTACTTGTACGGCTGGTCCAGAACTTACCTAGCTTCCCCCACCCAGCGTGGACAGCTGCGCAGCGATAGCGAAACTCTTCCATACTCGATAGATTCCATGCGTAACGGCAACCCAGGTATCTAGCTCTAGCTCGTGCCTTGCCCATCTTAAACTCGGCCGAGAAGTCTCGGTTCGCTCGATGACTGCGAAGACAAGGAACGGTTTCTCGCTTAGTTCTGAATAAGACCTTTAGCCCCCAGGACTCCATCGAGCACGTCGTCGCTGTGTTTTAGTTTCTCATCGATCTTGGTCTGCGTCGTCTCGTCGATCGGCATCTTATCGAATATATCGTCGGCGTGCACCGTCGTCGCCCCACAGCACAGGGAGTTATATATGCCGCACCGCAGGTGCGTGGCCGTCTCATTCACCGAACGTTCGTCGGCCCACGATCCCATGGGGCTCTCCATTACCTTCGCGAACACCACGGGCTCCTCACTAGACCCCATCAGTCCCCCTCGTCGGTGTCGAACAGCTAGGTTTCTGGGATCCTGCCAAGGCTGGGTGCCCCCCCGCCTCGAAGATCATCACGATCCCTGAAGTCTGAGATCTGGAATGCATCAACGCTGCGTCGGGGGGGGGGTGAAGAGCTCATTGATCGCCTCAGTCCTCGCTCGCGCCGTGGTGGAGGCAAAGGCATTCGACATATCATGCAAGTGGTTCAGGTGTGCAATACGATAGGTACGATAGAAATGGCCCATGCACATCTGCACTGCGATCGCGCCCCCCCTCCTACGTCGGGGAAGAAAACCATGAAACTCAGCCGGCCAGTGGACCCTTTTTTGTACAAGTTGTGCTTCAGCAGCCCCCCGTAGAAGCATTTCCAGTATGGGCACATCACGTTAATCAGACGTTTCCCCAGCGCCCCCACCTTCCCGTTGTGCTTCGCAATCGAGACCCCCCAGGCCAAGTTCCCCAAAATGGGTGCACGCTTCAGTCGCCTACATGAGATATGAAGATCCTCGAGAAGTCGGGCTGAGGTCGTGGATTCCGTCTGAGATATTGGGGTAGCTCCAAGTCCTAAGTGCTCTTGAGGTCCCACTGAGAGATACTTGGGGTCTGCGGCCATCAAGTGCAATTCCAGCGGGAAGCTCCGCGGTGGGGCAGCTCGCCGTTCGGCACTTCGTCGAAGTCGTCGTAAGGTCGCCTGAAAATCGCGTCGCCCCTGGAGATCGGCTCGCTCGAGCTCGTCCTCGTCCGTCGATGCTGCTGGCACTTGCGTACTAAAAAAACTAAGCATTCTGTCAACGTCTAATTCAACTGCGCCCATCCCACCGCCAACTGCTGGTGGGCTCAACTGCGTCTGCCCTTCAGTTCTGCTGTCAAATGCCGACGGTAAGTTATACTTTCGTTTCCGAGGTCCCCCGTGCTGCGCTGCAAGTAGAAATACCAGTCGATGTACATCAGCGTGTTTATGTTGATTATGTGCATCTGCGATTTCTGCCTCCAATCTACGTCGTGAATCGCGCCAAGCTTGTCGACTCTCTTGTCGAAGTGTCTTTTTGATCCCTCGCAGCTCCTCTTTAATCGCATCGGCCCTGGCTTCCAAATCCTCCGACAAAATACTCATAGGCGAAACACTCCTCATTGGTATCTGTGATCCTGCGCTGCCCTGGTCGTAGCTCACTAAAGTCATAGGTGAAGTTGCAGTCCCCGCGTTCTCCCCTGCAGCCCTCCAGCCCGCGGGGGCAGTCGGTAGTCCTGCAGCGATCTCATCATTCCTATTCGCCGTCACTCTGCGTGTGTCAATCTCACTTAATCGATTCAGATGATCCGAAGATGTAGTAGTGTGTTGCCGTGCAGTCCAGCGTCGTATCCCCTGCTCTTCGCCCACCCCGCGTAGTTCAACTCGAAGTTCACTCCGTGCTCTAACCAGTTCCAGTCGCCGAGCCCTGAGTGCCGAAACTGTTGGGTCGAGCTCCTTTTGCTTCTGTGCGAAGTGAGCAAGTCCTGTCCTACGAACAATTTCCATCCACCCCTGCCGCGCTCGGTCAAGCTCACCCCTTTGTAGGCGCCGTTGCATCTCAGGTGCGTGCTCCTGCATGGCCTTCTCTAAGTCGTCCAGAAACTCTGGCCTATCCACTCCGCGCTGGACTGCGGCCGCGAGTCTGTGGCGATCCCACCGCTCGTCCCTGGCCGATGCTGGTTCGTACTGTTTCGAAATGGTCATCTGCAACAAGATCGGAACGTGGTCTCTAGGGTTCTGGGACGGGATCAACTGGAGGCGCTTCGCAGGGTTCCATAGTACCTTGCAGGCCGATACTTGGTCTCTGAGCCCCTGGGGTATGAAGATGTGGTCGATGGTGGACGTGTGGCCACTGTGTGAATTGTATGTAGGGCCCCCCCCCTTCGATCCGAGGTAACTGCGTCAAACATCTCCAGAGGGGCCAGCAACTCATCCTGGATCAGATTGCCGATCACGTTCTGCTCCCCCATGTTGTACGGGCCCGCCAGGGGCCGCTCCTGTTCCCACCAAGACGCCGATGCCGAAGGCGAAAAAGTTCGCGAGCCCCCTCTGAGGCCCATCTGTGTATTGAAGTCCCCCGCGAAGATCGGAGTAGACCTGTTGGGCGCTTTCTGGACCTGCTGGATTCCCCATCGGATAACTTGGGTGGACCCCTTCTCCAAAGCCTTACGCTTCTTCGCCGAGGCGTCTCCGATGGGGGGAACGTATAGCAACACCGCGCTCAGGACGATACTACGATTACGAAGCCGAACCGCTAGACCTCTACCTTGGGCAACCTCTGGGGGGGTGTCGATGTTCCTGATATGTTTGGCCCTGAACATGTTTCCCACCAGGATCGTACAGCCCGCCGAACTATTCGAGGTCCTGCTCTCCATCCTGCGTTCAAGGCGAACGCCCCACCTCCCAACGGCATCCGTGTAACTGCATGGCCTGGTTGAGCTCTCATCCGAGTCCCTGGAAGGAGAACGAGGTCGGCTCGAACCGTTCGCCATATGTCGACCAGCCTCTGTGGTTCCAGTGCCGAGAGTGGGTTGCACAGTACAATCCGCAGCGGTGCGAGCCGCTGCGCCGCCGCCGCCATCCGCTGGCCTAGCGGGCGCACATCGCGCCCAGGCTCGCGTCCGCCAGGCGCGCTGATCCTGGCGGGTGGTGTGCCAGGGAGGAGATGAAGGTACAGTAGAGAGTGGAGGCTGCGCTGGTGCAGAGGTTTCCTCGAGCAGCTGGGGGAGGGAGGAAGGAGGAGGGAGGATGAGGGACGCTGCTCCAGCAGATGCCGCACAGTCGGGAGGGGGCCAACAGGAGGAACAACGGGGAGGTGGGGCGGGAGGAGCGTAGAGAGAAGAAATTCTCGGGATCGGGTGGCTGGACGAGGCCGACGCCGAGGCGAGACACACATCAGCACGATGCGGAGTGCGGCTTCCCCAAGCCCGGAGACACGATGCTTCACACGCTACGGTTTCCCGTGCGCCCCCTCGAACAATTCCCGCCCATCGCTGAGCCGAAATAGTGGCGGGTCTTGCCGCAAGCAACTGGGTACATACCGTCACCAAACGCCATTTGAATGTTGAATACGTGTATTTCGGCAAGCCGGTGTAGCCCAACGTCGCAGACTCTTCTGACCCGTCGACCAGTCCTTCCTGCATGTGAGTCCATCCAAGTCGTTCGGTGCTGACTTTCGCTAACGAGTAGAAGAACTAATGATCAGGATATGTTCGTTTAGATGTTCTGACGAACATGTTTAACCGATTGCCACTGATGGTTATCATTTGAATTCGCA